TCGCTTGGCAACTACATTCCAGGGATTGATTCAGCATGTGACAGAAGCTACACACACCAATGAGCACGCACTCGATGTGGTCATAATAAGGGAAGATAACTCGGTCATTAATGGAGCAATTTCACTCATTGATCCATGTCTAAGTGATGTAAAGGGGAACCATTATGGTGATCACCTTGATGTCCACGCAACACTTAATTGTAGTAAGCATGTTAGTGCAAGGAAAGAGGTGAGCTTCCGAAAATTCCGCGAAATTTTATTTAATACCAGATTTCATCAGTCTTCTGCTTTTCAATCTACTTAAGGCGGGGTTGATGATCTTGTTGGACCTTACACATCTGGTATAGAAGCCCTTATAGAGAAACACGCACTTCTACAGACTTAGGTGATAACTGTGAGACCGAATGCCCCGTGGTATCTCTGCGTAGGAAAACAGAACCACAGAAAAGCAGAGAGACGGTGGCAAAGGACCAAAGTGACCGTACACTAACAAATTTATAGGGAACAATGTCAGCTATCTGGTTCACTTCTCATTCAATCAAAGAACGCTTAATCCAAGAACGAAGGATCACAGGCAGCTTTTTGTGACTCACAAACAAATTAATTGGTCAGAAAGGTGAAGTCATCCTGCCAAACTGTACTTCTGAAAAAGACTTGTCAAACAAGTTCAGTGATTACTTTCTGAATAAAATCAGCTCGATCAGGAAAAATATTGGCGAAGTGAACTCGACTGCTGACAATGATATCTCTATCATGACTGCTGTCATTTTTGATGGTAAGCCATTGACGCTTTCACCAACAACCCAGGACGAGTTAGGTTATACCATCACGACCTCGAAATCGAAGTCCTGTGAGCTTGATCAACTTCCTACAGACATATTAAAGCAATGTCGTGAAGCACTGTTTCCTTTGATTACCTCAATTATGAATAAATTATTGGCCGAGTCCAAGGTTCCATTGTGTTTCAAGACTATTGTTGATGAAGCCTGAAATGGACAAGGAGGAGTTGAAGAACTACCGCCCTGTATCAAATCTGCCTTTTCTGTCAAAGATCTTGGAGAAGGTTGTGTCCCGGCATTTAGATGTTCATCTCCATGCAAACATTCTCCATGACAACCTGCAATCGGCCTACCGCATGAGGCAATTTACTGAGACGGCCCTCCTACATGTACGTGTACATAATTACACAGCTTCTGCATTTGATAACAAGTGAAGAGCGTTGCTTGTCATGCTGGACTTGTCAGTGGCATTTGACGTCATCGACCATGCCATACCTTATAAACGTCTAGAGTACTCTTATGGAGTGACTGATACCGCACTATGCTTGATACTGTCTGATCTGAGTGAACGACGACAGTGTATTGCCATCGGATCTACCACCTCACATGACGAATTACTAGATTTCGGGGTTCCTCAAGGGTCGGTGTTAGGACCACGAACATATTGCCTGTATTCGAAACTGAACGGAGAGATTTGTCGTCGCCATAGCCTTCGCTATCGTTGTTATGCTGATGACACACAAATTTACATGGTCATCAAACCACAGGACAGTTGGGATACAATATCAGAAAATCTGGAAGTTTGTCTGACAGACATCAGTACCTGGCTCCCCAGCTCAAGGATGGTGCCAGAACTATAAAAAAAATATACGTTGATAGTTCACTTAACATGGCGAAACAAGTGAACGCTATTGCTAAATCCTGTTACTATTAGATAAGGAACATCAGCTGTATCCGGCAGTTTATAAGTGTATATGCATGCAAGATTTTGGTTCATTCATTTGTTACCTCTCGGTTGAATTATGGTAATGCCCTACTCTGTGGTATATCTGACAAACTAACTAGTCGTCTGTAGAGGGTACAGGACACTGCAGCACCTCTGGCTACTCGTACTCGAAAGAGAGAGCACATCACACCTCTGCTGTATTCATTACACTGGTTACCTGTATGATAGAGGGCGCTATATAAATGTTGTAAACTATTATATCCCAACACTAATCATGGTAATCCGTTCTAATCCGTTATATGGACGAGACTAACACATGGATGAGCAGATTAACGTTGTTGTGTGAATGCCTAACTGTGATTTGTCCTGGTGTTGATGAAAATTAAAAACGGTAATATGAAACTAATCCTAGACAGACCTAAGCAGACTTAAAATATATTACTTGTAAGCTACGCATGGCGAAGATATATAACGTGTAATCTAAACGAACTTAAGATATATTACGAGTAAGCTAAGCAGACCTAACGTGGTATATTGGGACCTAGTTCTCTAACAAATGTTATATAAGTGTTGCCAAGACAAAAGGAATGTTTTATTTTACTTGCATGATAATACGTGTGCGTATGTGTGCATTCATTATGTTCCCAAAACAAAGTTTGGGGACATATTGTTTTTGCTCCGTTTCTTCTTCTTCTTATTATTATTATTTTCTATTATCATTATTCTTTAATCTTTAACTTTCTTCCGCCGACGAGGTTTTCGACATTTTTCTCGAAAACCGTAGGGCGGAACTCAACGAAACTTTATGAGTGTTCGTGTATGACAGGCGGTGCGCAAGAGTATTTTCGTTTTTCGATCAGTCATCAAACTGGTCAGCCGGACGGCGGTCTCTGATTGGTCGAAATTTAGACATTGTCCGATTTTGATGAAATATGGTATATAAGTGGAGTATGGCACTACCAAAACAACTGCAGGGTTTGTTTTGTGATTAAACAAAATGGCCGCCATTTCCTGACCTCTGTTTGTCGAAATTTAAATATTGTCGGATTTCGTTCAAATTTGGTATGTAGGTGAATCATGGGACAATGATCACTTCCGTAAGTAAGGTTTCAAATTTCAACAAAATAGCCCCCATTTCCGTTCTCTGATTGGTCGAAATTTAAATATTGTCCAATTTTGATCAAATTTTATCACTCGGTCCCCATTTCCTGGCCTCTGTTGGTCGAAATTTAAATATTGTCCAATTTTGATCAAATTTAGTATGAAGGTGTTTCATAGGACAATGATCATTTCCGTAGCTGAGATTTCACATTTCAACAAAATGACCGCGGTATTTTTCCTCTGATTGGTCAAAATTTAAATACTGTCCGATTTGGACGAAATTTGGTGCATAGGTGTAGTATAACACTACGAATACAACTGCTGTGTTTGTTTTGTGATTAAACAAAATGGCTGCCAATTCCTGGCCTCTGATTGGTCGAAATTTAGATATTGTTCGATTTAAAAAAAAAGGTATATAGGGGTATACGGGGACTGCAAAATAAAACCGCATATAATTTGTTACCATAGCAACCACACGGATGCTTCTGATATTTTCGTATAAAAAGAAAGAAAGATAACCCTTCCCCTTGCATAAGCCCGTTTGTGACATTTAAAAAGGTAGATAACTCCGACTCATATTTTACACAATATCTAACCATTTCATAGATGGATTCAACGATAGTGTACATTTTTCCAGGGACCATATTCCTTGCTAACTTATAAAACAATTTCTTACGATTAATAGTGTCAAATGCTTTTTCATAGTCTATGAAACAACAATAGAGTCTTTTCTTTTGTAACAAAATTTAGATATTGTTCGATTTTAATGACAAATGGTATATACATGTACGGGTATTAGGGGACTGCGAATTCAATCGCATAGGTGTCGTTGCCATAGCGACCACACAGACACTTCTGATTGGTTGCAATTCAGATATTGTGCGAAATTTAGTATGTACATCTGTATATTGTAAGTGTATTATGGCATTGCGAACCTTTTCTGATGCATCTTTGGGACTATGGGGGCAGTTTGGGGGACATCTGTAATGGTCCCCCATTACAATTAGTACTTGTTTTAAAACTGTAAATATATGCAAAAGAAGTTGATTATGGAAGTTATGTCCCTTTACGAACATAAAGAGAACATAATTATGTACATAAGGGCTGTGATTGAAGTTTAAACGATTTATATGGAGATTAGTAAAAGAGAAAGGCTGAAAACTTTCCATTCTGTGAGAGAATGGACAGTTTGAGGATTTCTCTTACTTAAAACCCAGTACCCGTTCGATTTAATAGTGACGCTCTTTACGTTAATAACAGACAGTTACTGAACAATGAATCAGTAAGTATATTAACAATGACAAGGCATGTGTGGTATGCAGTGTGAGCTATGCTCATTCATGCATGAATGCATATTGTTAACTGACTGGCCAGGTATAGGTAGAGTTACTATATTTTGAAATGGCTTTTAATTTAATGCACATGAATACTGATATAGTGAATCCTGGATATTTAGTCAGTTCAGAACATGTGAATCTCAGGAGACGACAATATCACTTTCAATAACATTTTGAAAGATTTTCTAATGCAAAGACATGTTGATTAGCACAACACATTGAACAGAGAACAAAAGTGAAAGTTTACTAAAATGGCACTTAAAATTGTATGCGTTATGATGAAAAATAGAAAATTCCTGAAGTAGATAGAAGGTAAATCGAATAAAACCTCAAATATCACCTAAAGCAACACAGGTGGCAGTTAAAATAAGTCTATTCCAGGAAATAACCACTACATTCGCGAAACATCAGGAAATGTCTTTTGGATTACCTCAAAGTATAAATCATTGTGTGTGAAAATCTGCTGGATTATTCCTGAATCAAGGTTTGTGTAGCTGATTTATTTCTGGATCAATTATAACTATGTGTGGTGTTTGAATGGGATATATATACTATTGTTATTTTTTAATATGTTTAAATGTACATAAATCTAGTAAAGCCATTTATGTTATATATAAATTGTGGATTTTCTTTTAAAATTTACTGGCTCTTGAAATTATTGTTGTTACCTGTAAATGTCCATTATAAGGCCAGTGGCTGTCCATAGTTCAGCACAATTAAGGACAGTTACGGCTTGATAATGGATAATGATGTCATAACCTAATTCAAGGCAGCGCGTCACTGACTGGGTTGAAAATTTTCAAATATTAAAAAAAAACCAGAAATGTATTTTCCGCTTCTATTCTTCGTCATCATATTAACGAATGTCTAATTCATTTTGGAAGGAATTTTGAGGAGTGCCAGCTAGGATGTGTCGATCGATTATTTTATTCGTTATAATATTGAACGTAAGGTTTGTTTACAATGATGTTGTCGTTTTCGTGCTTGAGCTCTATCTATACAAATATCTAAAAATACATAATACAGATAATATCGTCGCAAAATAGTTAACTGTTTATTGGTGTGGATTTTGATGACAAAATTTCCCATAAATGTGTTTTATGCGATGTGTGAGTGTGTGTGTTTTGAACTGGAAATGGAAGAGGGAACTTGCTGATTTTGATGAAATGTGCTTTCTTTATAGATCAGCCTGCCGATACAATCTTCGAAATGGATAAAACGCCTATCAGCAGAGAACACAGTACTGTATTGTAATCCAGTCGTGTGTAACGTCGGGTACCGTAAGTATTTATCTTACTACATAGTTAATAAATACATTTCTCTGAATATACACAGAACCCCCCCCCCCATTAAAGTAATTACATCATGTTTCATTTCAGCATTTTATATATATATAGAATTTTGAGAAGACATCTATATATAGTGTGTGACATGATGACCTATATAGATATGTAAGTTGGGTTTTCCACATACATGTAGCCTATTATTTCACGGAATTGGCCGAACGTGATCTAATTGCAAAGATGCTGTAACAGCACAGGTACTTTTCGCGAATGAGAAATTATAATAAAAAACCCGAATACACTATTTTGTTTTCATTTGCGATAGGTACCTGTGGTAAACACATTAAGAAATACGAGTTTGCTCCCTTTAATCAATCATGTTTCATATTGTATTGGCAGTACTCTATAAACTATAGATTGTTTTTGGTGTGAAAGGGAAGTGCCTGTGTTTACATTTTAAGCTACTGACGGAACATTAATTTTAAATTATCAAAAATCAAAACTGGGAACATTTTGTTGCTCGTATTCTAGTACCGTACGTAAAATTTTAAAATGACATTAAAATAGTTAGAAATTAAATAAATTTAATGAAACAGATAGCTGTAACAGATGGACAATATACTCAGAATTTTGGTTTACTGAAAAGTTAAGCTCACAGTGAAGTATTTTGACACATATTTTGAAGAAGAATTTTCACTTACAAGTCTTTTTACCTTAACAAATTATTCAAATAACTGCATTATTGCTTGGTTAAATTATAATTAGTATGGTTGGCATATTTTCCCCTAAAACAATTGACAATATTTGTGACTAACTTGGTCACCACTATTAACTGATTGTCCTTCTTTGTTAGCATGCTTATTAACAAATTAGCGAATCCCCCATGTCTCTTATTTTATTAAATTATAATCCCCCATGTCTCTTATTTTATTAAATTATAATCCCCCATGTATTTTATTTTATTAAATTTGCGTAGAAAAACAATAAGCAGCAAATAGCTATATTTTTTTTCCAAATATGACATTAAAAAAAAGTTCTGAACAAAACAGTCTCTAAGGTCACAAGTTAAATACAAAACATATAAGGCCAAAACAAAACGTAGTGTGTTTCAGGTATCATGCCAGACTAATATGAAAGGGTGGGTCGGCAGGCAATTAATTATATTTTCATTTCATTTTTTTTTTTAATTTTCATGGAACAATAATAAGCATTATATCAAATTTTACAATGCATTTCTACACCTTACAGTGGTTAGTAAGCAGTCAAGAAAAGAGTAAGGCTCCCTGAACAGGAAATAAAGCAATTTTAATGAGTGGCTGTAAGTTTTGCCTGTGTAATTAATTCTAAGGTAGATCAGGATACCTGAACAAACGTTTCCATTGACTTAGTTTTACCCGGGACTCTCACTATTAAAGTGTTTGAGCGTGGTCAAACGGGTTGATAATTGCATTCCCGTACGTTAGATATACATGATATGGTTATTACATTTTACAGCTGAAAACAATTTTGTTGTTGTTGTTGTAGTTTTAGAAATTCATGCCGATCAGTATTGACATAGTATTTTCTTTAATTGTTATAGCTCAATATAAAGTGCTAATATCGATATTTATTTCATATTGACGATTTCTTGTCCTTATTTAAATTCTACAGAAGTGTCATTTTGTAAACAAAACTACACAAACGACTACTGCCACAGATGTCCAGTCGGTAGTGTACAAAGCAAAGCGGTCGACTCAGCAACAGTGAACCACCTGACGGAGATCCTTAAGTGTGTATCAACAGACCAAGAACCGTCTTGTCCACCGGGTACGTTGTCTGTTCCCTGTTTTTGCCGCCGAGAGTGTTTGTCCTACAGGCCTCATTGACTGATCAAAGTAATTTATCATTGTACAGTGACATTGACTTGGTTTAACACAATACATTCAATATAAATATGTCTGTTTGAGTGTTACATAAACGAGCGAGGTCCTCATATCAGATGTAAGCGAAATCAGAAAATTACGCAGTTTTTATTAATGCTTACAGGACACTTTTTTTATAGGACATGTACTTAGATATGATAAACGAAACTACATTTTTCAACAAAGATATTTAACAAAATGTCATTATTTTAAAACATTTTTTCATAATATTATATGCAACGACATTCAACATATATATATACATATATAGCATTTTCTATTTAATATAACTTTAATGACAAGATTTACGACAGTCCCTATATCTGAATTTGTTACATAACACGAAGAAAATTAAAAATTAAAATTTGGATTTTATCGTTTGACGCTTTTGCACTTGGTTTTTCTATAATTGTAAACGTAATTATATTCAATATACTGGTAGTGTTTCCTCTTTGATATACTGTACAAAACTTCACACTAAATTTAAAGAAGACTTTTTATATACTTTATTTTGATTACTTACCAAATCTCTACAGTGTAAGTAACGACAACTCTGTGATAATACTTATCCTGTTATCTTCACAGAGACGGTATTGGTTTTAAGTGAGAGGAAGAGACCGACGTGTGAGTGTGATACAGCACGAGGATATGCTGGAGACAATTTTTTGATTTGTATCAGTTGTCCGGAATGTCCTCCTGGAACGGAATTGAAAAAAGGTAAAAAATCAAAAAATATAAATTAGTGATATGTTGTATAGAAACTGTGTGAGCTGAATCTCTATTTGTGCTATATAATATAAAGATTATTTTTACTGACCGTAGTTTATGCACAGGTACTAGACTCGTCTGTTAATACACCTATAAGATTATATTATTACCTGTGGTTTATGTTATCCTCTGTAATGGAATGCTGTATGAGGAGCAAGTTGACTGTAACTCTATTTTCTGGTATGCTGTATCAGTGGTTTTTCTTCCATAAAGTATTGTATTGATTATTTAGTACAAAGGGCAGTTTTAGTGATGTATACTGCATAATGGGAACCTTTCGTTGAAACGTTAATTATCTTGGTGGTTTTTCGCAGTACACTTAACACGAAATCGACCAACACGACTGCGAATATTTCTAGTAAAGTACACCAATATAAATCATCTGCAAAGCAAATACTGCGTAAGCGATACTTTATACACGTAAATACGAAATCAACACAGGTAGTATACAGGTGATCTACCAGTATATCACAACATGTATTTAACCTTCAGTTTTTACAGCAGTTATATCAGAATTATATAATAATACATTGATATTGATATGAGAAATGATTCCCATTGATGCATTTGTGTTTTGAAGTACAATGTATTTTAAGCAGTGTTCATTCATATTAATTGATTTTGGTTAAAAGTGTGTGTATTCAAGTAATTGAATTCATGGTATGACTAGTACAAATCACAACATCATAAACATGACGAGGAAATAAGTACTGTGTGCTTATATAAATCCTTCTCATCTTTCTAACAAACTAGTGGCTATATAAATGACTAATATTTTACAATACTACAGAATTTTTTAAACAAATGTAGTCAAATATGTGGTAAGAGACATGAAAGAAAAGATACATTGATATTTCATGAAATAGTAAGTAAGCATATCATTATGAAAACATTACAAATGTTTCACAAATCCACTCAATCAATATATTAATGATTGTTTTCCTTAACCAAAACGTTTAGACTGGACTATTTCTACCTTTTGAGCTGTTGGGAGGCTAGAGTCTCCATACATTGGTAGAGAGTTGGTAAGGAAGGCAGTCGAGACAGTTCCGTATGGGAGTTTCATTTAAATGATCAAATTTATCTCAATTTATTTCATACAGATGGACAATGCAGCCACTGCCCTCCCGGTACATTCAAGACATCACAAGGATTTGGCCCATGCAGACGTCTTACAAAGTATTTATTTACAGTATGAAAAAGAACACAAAATTAAAGAAAATGACTAATGCGCTAAAAATATAGGTAGCTTAGCGATACAACAACTTCATTTCCAAACCACTGTCGGCGGTACTTATGGACTACGAAGTAACTTTTACGTAGACACTATAAAGATTAATAAAACAATTTTCCTCTCCTGGTTCGGGAAAGAAATTTAACACGTGCATAATGTGCAACCTGCTGAGATCGAACCCTGTATAATGTCGGTATACACAAGTAACAAGTTGTTGAAGGTAAACTTAACTATATATATATATAAAAGTCCATTTAAATGGATTTAGTATGACTGTAGGAAGAAACAAATGGTCCAACAAATGCCGCAAATTATAAAAAAAAAACACGTTTTGAAAGCTGGTGTTCATTAAGACTGAAATCACTGTGCCCAAACATTTAGCTCGGCCCACTAAACATGTTCTTTAGGTCGAATTGGGTCTGGAAAGATTTTTCTCTATAACCTTTTTTTTTTTTGACACCTTACCAATAGTTTCGCTGTTGTAGCTGTGGAGGGGAAAACAGAGAAACGCTTTTACAAGGAAATACAACAGCAGATGCTGTCTGTGGAAATTTTCTGACAACAGCTACAACGGAATCAGCATCTTCGGTACCAGACATGTCAACGCGTGAGTCACAACCTATACTAGCTGCCCTGTCGAGTGACGGTTTGGAGGGGTTTTCTCTGACTGGGGATGAAAACAGTAAGAGCCTTTTACTTTTAGCATTAAATCAAACGCAGTTAAAGCGAAAATTGAATATCATAAAATTATAATTCGGGTTCTTAACATTGTGATACAATACACATTTGTATATTATTGAATATCAGATATCTAATCTCATTCCATAATATGTGGCTGAGTTAATTTCTTTGGTAAGTTCAACGTTTATTTATCACTTGATTCATTTGTTCTAAAGACCAATCAATTTTGTTTACACACGCCAAATACGTATTTATAGCTAGTGACGATATATCTCAGACAAATATGATAACTATATATAATTTCACTACTTTACTTTTTTCACGGCTTTTGAGAAAGTAATTCGTTGGATTTAATATCCCCGGTTGTGTCCTGCCAAGTTACGCCTCTATCAGCCATTCGTTTATCTAGAAAGACCATTTAGACTAACTGCCTCGGTAGTTTCCGGTGTGCAGACTAACTTCCTCGCCAATTTCCGTAACATCCTCACCGAAATTATGAAACAAATTTGGAAATAGGCCTGACGTCAGAAAGTCACAACCATACTATATTCATCAAGCCGGCGTTTTGTATATAAATACGAACCTATTAAATCAATGAGTGTTTTCTTTTGGTAGATCCAATTTACTCGAGTCATGAAATGGAAATGCATGATATATACAACAATCAACAGAGGTATGTAACACATTACTGAGTCCATAGACAAATAACAAAAACACACCACTAATTATACAATTCACTATTAAATACTATTAAAAATACAAAACACCACCAATTATACAATACACTATTAAATACACTATTAAACATACAAAACACCACCAATTATAAAATTCACTATTAAATACACTATTAAACATTAAACATACAAAACACCAGCAATTATACAATTCACTATTAAATACACTATTAAACATACAAAACACCACTAATTATACAATTCACTATTAAATACACTATTAAACATACAAAACACCACCAATTATACAATACACTATTAAATATACAACACACCACTGAATACAATACACTATTAGATATACAACACACCACTGAATACAATACAATATTAAATATACAACACACCACTGAATACAATACAATATTAAATATACAACACAACATGGAGTATACAAAACACGTCTGAGGTGTATCATATTCTACTAAGGCATTCAACCAACATCAAGGTTTACATAAATTATTAGGTCGATGTTTAATTATTATATATTACGAGTTGCTACAGTTTGAGATTACTAGTGCATGCATATATGTTATAGTTTTAGTGTTAAATTTTACCCTAAATCGAGAGTGCGTCTATGTTGTAGTTCACTGTATAAAATATGACACTTAGTCGAGACTAAACGTGTCTATGTTGAAGTTCACTGTATAAAATATGACACTAAGTCGAGACTAAACGTGTCTATGTTATTGTTCACTGTATAAAATATGACACTTAGTCGAGACTAAACGTGTCTATGTTGTAGTTCACTGTATAAAATATGACACTTATTCGCGACTAAACGTGTCTATTTT